TACCTTAGGCTTGCATAAAACTAAAAGCCTGCACAGAACACATAAACCTGTTACAACTACAAGCCTTAAAACACAAGCCTGAAGCCTGCTAACCTGCCTTCAAACACCAAACTCAAAAAACACAGTAAACCTATTTCAAACCTCCAAGCTTGCCTACTTCAAAAACAAACTCCAAACCTGCTAAAAAAACCAGAAGCAAGCCTAAAAAAGGCAAGCCTGTCAAAACTTGTTTCACTACCAAACCAACAACCACCCTCAGAATCATCAACCATCATCCAATATCCAAATAACCAACAAAACGCCTCAGAACCAAGGTTCATCATAGGCTAAACAGAAGCACAAGCATCCTCAGAGCTAAGCTCATCACAGGATCAAACAACAAGCATCATCAACATCATCAAAAGCAACATACAAAAATCAAAGCAATCTCAGAATTGCCATCATCAAGTCATCAGAACAAAGCAAGCCCAAGAGGAAAAAGAAAGCATCTCAGAGTAAGGCAACAATAACATCATCAAACTCAGAAGCAACAAACAAATATCCAAACGTACTCTCAGAGCAAAAGCTCATCATCGAGAATCACAACAATAAGCAAAGCGTTCAGATAAGCAAAAGAGGAGAGGAACTCAGAAGCAAATAAGCTAGGGTTTTCAGAAAGCTATCATCATTAAACTAAAGCAAGATACAAAGTACCAGGGAAGCCAGCAAGCCTCATCACCGGTCCCCACGCCTCGGCTACCTGAGACGCATCGCCGTCCTCCTCCGTCTCCTCTCCAAAGGTAGTAACTCTTCCCTTTTCTTTAACACCTCACACAAACATAGACAACATAGAAAATCAAAAACGTGTCCAAAGTTAATAACATGCAAGAGACAAGAAACTGAAAACCCTAAAAAAACGCGTTAAGACAGAAATCATATACCTTCTCATCACTGCCTTGCTCAACCATGGAGAGAGGGAGATGGACGGTTGCGCTCTGGCAACTGAGGCGGTTGGAGGAGCCTCAATGGCTTTTGTTTGAGAGCGAGAACGAGAAAGATGAAGAAGACGATGGAGAAGCGGCGCCGTTTATCAAAGCGATGTAAACCCTATTCTGAGACAAAACAACTCAAACCCTAAACGAATTTGTCAAACATTGGGCATGTTCCCTCACAAAAACACTAAGCCCAACAATTCTGGCATATGCACCCCCCCCCTCTTTTTTTGAATCTGTTAGTTTTTGTTGTTTGGGCCAAGCATTTTCTTAAGGCCCATTTAACTTTTTTATGTATATACAAACTAATATTCTTCTTTTACTTTTTTTTACCAACACTTTTTTTAAACCTATTTCTTTTTTTTTCTTCATAACTAATTACATTAACTTTTATACCAAATTTTCTTAATTGCTTCTTTTATTTTATTACATGTAAAAATACATAAATATTAGATTTTATTAAGATTAAACAATTTTTCCTTTAAAACTTTTTTTTCGTTTAATAAATCACTTTTATAAAACTTCCTAAAAAACATTAACAAAATATGCAAATAATAGATTTTTGTTAAGTTAAATTATTGTCCCTTTAAAACCTTTTTTGTTTATTCATAATTAACAAAAAACACAAAAATAAATAAATACTTAATAATATATTAGGTTGACATTTTAATCATTTGTAAATAATCACATACATTGCACAATACTTTTATTTCTCTTTGATTCTTATACATTGCTATATTTTACATTGAGAATGCTATTCGATTTGGTTGTAAATATCATTTGGACACTACTATCCTGATAAGACTCATCCCCATTTGTAAATATTTGTACCCCCATCCCCGGATACTTATTTGTAATAGCTTAGACTTTAAATTCCCGCAATTTATCGCTTTCTATATACTGTATAGTAATTAGGGTTTTGTATGCGAAGATTCAAAATCAACCGCTAGATAACCTAATACAAGACAAATGCATGAAAATCAAATACACCAATCACACTTGCACCCCTAGGGTTACTCCACTTGTTGCCTTCAAAAATGGGCCATGTTGCATGTTGAGTGTCTTTGGCAAAACAATAAAAACAAACAAAATGATCATAGTCTCTCGATGACGCTATCTTGTTGCCTAAACAAAATGATCATAGTCCCTCAAGAAAATTGCCAAAGACACTTGACACTATTGCATTCATGGTCTAAACGATGACCCGCGCCCGTCCCGTTAACATCCTAACGCAAGGTTATTCACCAAATACAATGGTGAAATAACACTGTTAAAAGGGTTAAAAAGCATAAGAAAAATCTTTGAGTAAAATATGGTAGACAACTCCTAGTTACTTGATCAAACTTGCAAAACACACTTGCCTACTTTCAAAACACACCCACAACACAACTTTCAAAACAACTTCCAAAAACATTGAAATATATTTTCAAAAAGACAAACACCTTTGTAAAACATTCGAGTAAAGAATTGTTACAACGGTTGCCTAGACAAGGCATCTTTTTCAAAACATTTTCAAAACCACACACACAAAGCACTATTTCACACAATTGAAAATCAAGGCAAGTGATCTAAAACAAGTAACTAAGAGCCCATGGATAACCATGGATGAAAAGGGTGCTAGCACCTTCCCTTTTCATAATCTACCCCCCCGAACCCACGAAAACATCTCAAAGTTTTTTCCTGTGCTTTTTAACCTTTCCTTAGGATAAATAAAAAGTCGGTGGCGACTCTTGCTAAACCGAACAAGTGCGAATACAAACGCAAAACCTCAAGTCAGTTCTCCCACCGTATCACAGGAAGGAATAAATTTTAAATATTTTAGGACGGCTACCTCAAAGTCAAAAAAGGGCAACCACAATCCTATTCTTATGAACACACATTCATAAAATGAGATCACACAGTCGTCAAAAGAACTGTGTATCCTCTTTTCTGGCTCCACTAGAAGATCTAACTATTCCATGGGATCGCCGACCATAATCTCAGTCACATCTCTTGCAGTCTCAGTGATTAGAATTGATAAAGTGCCTCCTATTTTTTTGTCCACCCAATCGTACTCCACTATATCTAGTTGATCTCGAAGATCCAAGTGGGCTTTCACACCAGCATCATTGGGCTTACAACCATTGATCTTTAGGTGGAGATGAATATAATCCTTAATGTGTTCCCTCCTTTGCAAATTGGCTTGTATTTCCTCTTTCGATAAGACGTGATAAGGCATAAGGACATCAACATGGTTTATTCCTCTGCTAACATTTGATAAAAAGGCGTCTAGTGAACGAGATGAATAAGTTTCTTCCTCCAAGGAATTCCTAGATACCATTTATGAGTTAAAATCGTCAAATAAAGGTATGATTTCTAGTTCTAGGTGATCACTATCAAGAGGAAGGAGATGACAATCAAGGGATGTTCCTATTATAGAGGCAGATGAAGTTCCAACTTCATAATCATTCATTAGGCCAAATATAATGTTGTTCATCCTGACTAGAAAATAGAAAATTTTGAAGATAAAAGTTTGAGTTAGTATCGTATTTGGTTGTGTGAGATTGGTGAGGCTGGAGAAGACGAAGAAAGGTGAAAGCTTTAAGCAAAGCACTAAAAATCACTTCTAATAGTACTCTCAAGAGAGAGAGGAAACAAAGGAGCCTTATAGAAAAGTAATTGTAAGTTTAAAAATCAAAGGCTGCAAAAACTTCCAAATACTCAGTTAATCATATTTATAAGTAATAGTTGAAGGATTCTGAGCATCTAAAAAAAGAAGTCGCAAGGTCAACAAAAAGATTTTCACTCATGGATACACATCAATTTGAGTGCACTCAAGTACACTATAAATTGTGTCATGTCTTAGTTGGGCATGTCATTGTACGTGTTAGAAGAGGTTGATGTAGCGTTTCAATAATGGGACTGCTTTTGATGTGTATGTTTCCCGCTACTTTTTTAACTAGTTCAAAGCATTTCAGTTCCACTTCACATATGACCACGTCTTGGAGGCTGGCCAACATTACTTAAGGCTCCACCCAGTTCTTTCAATGCCCGATAAAGCCTTGGGGACAATTGTTCTAGGAGGATTTCTTTTTCCATTCTATGTTTTTCTAGCGCACCACGCGAAATTCCAAAAATACCCCTAAAAATTTAGAAATCCAAAAATACCCTATAAAAGTGAACAAGTTTACATAGTCAGATAATTATACATAGTCTGATATTTATGAATAGTATAACCTATAGTAAAAATTGGAGATGTATTTCCGGGGAATTCTAAAAATGCATTTCCGTAATAAATTAATTCGTAAAATGGAGTGTAGCTCAAAAATGAAAGAATTGTATGTGTGTGAGTGCGCATTGGAAATGCATTTCCAATTTTTCTAGGATATTTTAGGAAATGCATATGGTATTTCTTTACACTATAGGGTGGAAAAAGAAATTCTCTTATTCTAGACCGGCCAAAGGCCCAAATAACAAAGGTTCAATCCACCTCAATTCACTCCACTTGACCTAAGGTACAAAATCAGTTCACACACTAATAGCAAAGAACAATTTTTAATCTTCACTTTTCACTACACTCATATTGAATTTTGAACTGACTTAAATATTGAAATACTAACCATGCAGGTTCATTCCACGCCACTATAAAGAAGATCGCAACCACCTTTCAAAATCATCAATTTTCCAACTTTATCCATTTTTAATTTCCGAGTAGAATATGTTATTTTTATATATTTATAATAAAATTAAACTTTTTGAAAATTTTCAAACCAACATTTTGAAGTCTAAAGCTTTTGGTTGAACCACCTTACCATGAAACCAATCTTTAGTATATTATGGCATTTAATATAATTTATTTTAAAGTATTAACTTAATTAATTATATAAATATTTAAAAATATAGATGAATTATTTAAATAATTTAAGTGTAAAATAATAAATAAAAATAAGTGGGGTATGTTGCTTTTTAGATTATATTTGAATTCTGTTTTCTGTTTGCAGTGAGTGAGTGAGTGGTGATGAATGTAACATAAGTTGTTGGATTCTAGACATGCTCTTCTTTAACATTACCAAAACCCTCAACCTTAATCCTTTTCAAACAAGGTTTTTCACCACAACCTCTTCTATATTAAACCTCTGCACCAAACCACAACACCTTCAACAAATCCACGCTAGATTCTTCCTCCATGGTCTACACCAAAACTCTCCTCTTTCCTCCAAACTCATTGATTCTTATTCCAACTTTGGACTCCTTCATTTCTCCCACAAGATCTTCTACTTCACTGAAAACCCAGATTCACTTCTCTACAATGCTTACCTTAGAAGCTTGTTTAAGTTTGGTGAATACGAAAAGACTCTTTTTTTGTATAAAGAAATGCTTCCGAAATCCATGTACCCAGATCAAGATTCTTGTTTTTCTGTTTTGAAATGTTGGAATAATTTGATTCATGAGGCTTATGAAAGTGGGAAATTTGTGGAAAGTTTTCAAATTTTTTGTAGAATGAGAAAGGAGAATGTACAACCCAATTCAGTTAGTGTGATTAACTTGTTAAGGGTTAGTGTTGAATTGAACTCATTGAAGACGGGGAAAGTTCTTCATTGTTTGGTTGTTGTGAGTGATTTGTGTAGGGAACTAACGGTGAATACTGCGTTGTTGTCCATGTATGCTAAGTTGGGTAATCTAGAAGATGCAAGAATGATGTTTGAGAAAATGCCTGAGAAGGATGTTGTAGTTTGGAACATAATGATTTCGGCGTATTCTGGAAAAGGTTACCCTAAGGAATCCTTAGAGATTGTGTATTGTATGGTTAGATCGGGGATTAGACCCGACTTGTTTACAGTAATCCCCGTGATTTCTTCGATCACAAAGCTAAAGTTCAACAAGTGGGGGAAGCAAATGCATGCTCAAGTGATGAGAAATGGTTCAGATTACCAGGTTTCTGTTCATAATTCTCTTATTGACATGTATTCCGCTTGTGACGACATAAATTCGGCACAAAAGATTTTCGGTTTGATAGCAGACAAGACAGTGGTTTCGTGGAGTGCGATGATCAAAGGGTATGCAATGCATGGTCAGTGTTACGAGGCACTTTCCCTATTCATAGAAATGAAGTTGTGTGGTACTAAAGTTGACTTTGTAATAGTCATCAACATTTTGCCTGCTTTTGCAAAGATAGGGGCATTGCATTATGTAAGATACTTACATGGTTACTCATTGAAGACCAATCTGGATTCGCTCAAATCGCTGAAAACGTCGTTTCTTAGTAGTTACGCCAAATGTGGTTGCATAGAGATGGCTAGAAAGCTTTTTGATGAAGAGAAAAACAGCCATAAAGATATAATTGCATGGAACTCTATGATCACTGCATATTCTAACCATGGAGAGTGGTTTCAATGTTTTCAATTATACGACCAAATGAAACTATCAAATGTTAAACCAGATCGAGTATCATTTCTCGGGATTCTCACAGCTTGTGTTAATTCGGGCCTTGTGGAAAAGGGCAAGGAGATTTTCAGAGAGATGGTGGAAATTTATGGTTGCCAACCTAGTAAGGAACACAATGCTTGTATGGTTGATCTATTAGGACGCGCAGGAAAAATCGATGAAGCAAGCGAAATAATAGAAAATAGTCGATTAAATTCAGATGCAAAGGTTTACGGACCCTTGTTGAGTGCATGTAAGATGCACGATTCAGAAAGCGATTTCGCAGAACTTGCTGCTGAGAAACTCATATATATGGAACCGAAAAATGCTGGAAACTACGTGCTGCTATCAAATATATATGCTGCAGCAGGAAAATGGGAGAAAGTTGCTAAAATGAGGAGTTTTCTTAGAGATAGAGGACTAAAGAAAATACCAGGGTGTAGCTGGGTAGAGTTGAATGGACAAGTGCATGAGTTTCGTGTTGCAGATCAATCTCATCCAAGAGCAGAAGATATATATTCAGTATTGAAAGTTTTGGAGTTTGAAGCGGGCATGGAGGATGATGATCTTGAACTCAATTTTGGACTTCCTACTATTTTGATAATGTGAACTGCATTTCAATCACAACTTTAATAGCTGGATGATAATTGATAAGCCAAATTTACCATACACTGTAACGATTATGATATTCTGATGTGTTATTATACCATTGTTACAAACAGTTATAGTAGCTTAAGATTAACCCATCTTGTAAGAGTTAATTAATTATTTAAAGTTATTATTAGTTATGTATACATATAGCCCTGGATTGAGTGTAATAGTCATTCAATTTCATTCTTGTAATTTTTCAGATTGTACCAATGAAGAGATCTTCTCTCACTCTCTATCTAGATTCATAGAACTAACATGGTATCGGTTGTTTTCCATGCGTAAGCTCGTTTTTTTTTTTTAATTTTTGTTTTCACCCCTCCCTCCGAGGTTACTTATCAAAAGAAGAACAATGATCCAAAGAAGGACAGTCCCATTTGTGTACGGCATATAGTGCATCCGGACCCTAGGCCGCTCCAAGGACAAGTGCTTCAAGTTTCATGGCGATCCCCGTTCGCAAGAAGCACCAAATAATCAGGTATCTGCAGTTGTGCGATTTATGGATGCCTATAGTATGCTTTCATTCCTATTCAATAAAGGAATAAATGCTTGCATGCTTGCTGTTTTTATGGGATATCCTCCCTACTAAGACCTTCTGACATGCTTGCTGGTTTGGTGTTTGAATTACTTTCTTCCATTTGAGATTGCCATATCCAACAAGGGAATCCCTCTCTCAATCAAAAAATGTAAACATTAGAGCTACTTGAAGTGGTTTTTTCACGTTAAAATTAACTTCTCTCTTTCTGAAAAATGATTTTGAGAGAATAGATTCTTTAAAATTCGTTATTGAATAGTAAATTTCACTAAAGTTTTAATTTAAAAACTATAAGTAATAATTTCAATTAGAATCAATTATGAAAATAAAATCAATTCTACCTTATAGAAATCAAACATGTCAAAATCAATTCTACACCTCTAAATTCATTTTTTTTAATCAATTTCAATAAATTCAACTAAAGCAAAGTATTTGGGCTTACCTGCTTTGATTGGGAGGTCCAAGAAGACCATTTTTTGTCAGGTGATCGATGGAGTCTGAAAGAAAGTGAAAGGGTGGAAGGAAAAGTTTCTGATCAAGGCAGTTGCTCAGGCCATGCTCATGTATGTCATGAGTTGTTTTAGACTGATTGAAGGATGTTGCAAAGAAATTGAGACTCTTTTAGCAATGTTTTGGTGGGATTGTTTCAATGAGGACAAGAAAATTCACTGGATGAGTTGGGCCAAGTTGTCGAAGGCTAAAGGCTTGAGAGGAATTGGAGATTTCAATCTCAGTTTGTTAGGGAAGCACTACTGAAGGCTAAAGTTTGTTAGGGTAGCAGAGAGAGCTATGGAGTGGGTTCAAGGGTTTAATTCCACCAACCTGGGGCTGAGATATAGGAGGAAGTCATTGAGGCCAGAAGGAATGGAAAGTGGTTCCAGGGAGTCAATATGATTCATGTGCATGCAGGGTGTTTCAATGATGGTACAATAGCCATGTGATGCGAGATCAAAAATCAATATGCAGGTACTGTCTTGTCAGCCACCAAACCACGTTGCCCGTCAATTGGTTGGTTTAGGTCTTTAAGATTATGTATTTTGCTTCCGATGATCTGCTTCAATACATAGTTGACTGGTAACATCATTTGCCTTAATATTCTTGTATATAAGTAATATTGTTGAGCATTAAATTTTAGTTTTCATCCTTCAAACTTTACAGTACAAGTAAACTACGATGCTTGCATCTTGCAAAGTGCAAAAGAATTTCAGACCAAGGATTGATTAGAATTGCAAAGAAGCTTTCACTTTTGGAAGAGCTAGACATATCATTTAGTAGCTTATCTAGTGAGTCCCTTGAAGTTGTTGGACAGTGCTGTCCTCTTTTAAAATCACTCAAGTTTAGCACATTGTTATAATATTCAAAGAGAAGGTGCTTTGAGAAGATCAAAGATTTACGGCTTCATGGTGATTATGATGATACTCATACTTGGTGCGAATTTACCAACGATCCATCTGAATATTTAGACTGGTTTAATGTTCCTATGTGTAATGGGCTATGGATTATTATATGTTTGAGCCTATTGAAATTGTTAATCATTGTGAAATTTTGTAAACAGAATGCTTCATTTTAGCTTATCTTATAAACTGTGAGTTGTTAAGATAGAAGTGCAGCACTTTACTAGGAACAGGAACTGTGCCAATGCATGGTTTTCTTTTGAATTTGACATTTTATAGTTTTAGTCTTGTTTCAGTTATGTCACTCTTATTTTAATGTACTTTGAGTGAAGACGATTCTATGTGGGACTGAAACATAGAATCTTTAAGAGGTTCTGGTCTTTTCAAGTATCTTCTTGCTTGGAGCGACTTATTTGACTACGTTTGTCACTATCAGCTTGGAGTGACTTATTTGACTACGTTTGTGTTTGTGCAGTGTTTGTGCCAAAGCTTTGCCTGGGACTGCATTGGGTATTGCCTCATTCCAGACACACCATCTTAGCATGAAGTAAAGAAAGAAAAATGAAACCAAAATATTTTTCACAAACAACGACGCCAGTGAATATAAGGTGTTTGCTGCTAGATTAGTTGATCTAGATTTAATGGTGTATTCTGACTTATAGTTGATCTAGATATGATGTTGTATTCAGACTTAGTTGATGTTCTCATGTTTTACCATTGACTTAAAAACAAACACATTTAAATAAATATTTAACATATTTTTACAATTAAACCAGTGAGGTATTAAATTGTAACAAAACACGATTTTTTTTAGCAATAATAGGATATTGAAAAAAAATATATAAATAATTATGTTTTTAAGAAAATTACGCAAATAATCATGTTTCAGAAAACATTTAAACAGAAGAGTCAACTCAGATGGTGCATCCTCTTTATTTTTATATGGAGGCGCCAAGTGAGATGATGCATAGATGCAACATGTTTGCTTTAAGCCATCTCAGATGACGCCTAAGTGCTTTTAACTCCCATTTTTTTCCTTTCTATTATAAAATAAGAGACAATAACTAAACGATATAGCTTAATGAAAGTTCGATTTTTCAATAACAAATGAATGATTACATAATGAAAAAAACTATTACATATTATTTAATTGTCCCCCGGACTCGCGTCCTCGCCTAACTCGTGGTGGGTTTCATCGATTTTCCTGTTGCGGTTGGGTCGATGGTCCAGCGAAGTCAATGCGTTCAGGATCCATGAAATCTGTCAGATCATTATATCTGGAAGATCCACTTTGGTACAGTCAGTTACCCATGTCCTCAAAGTTTGGTCGTCTTGGTGGGGGTGGAGTTCCATGGATGGTTGATAGCACTGATCATCTGAGTAAGGGAGGTAAAAAGGAAATGAATTTTGGGGTGTTTGGTATTGTTATTGTTAGGTGCTATGGTGATGTGGTGGTTGATGGTTAGTTGGGTCGGTTGGATCATATTCTATAGAAAAACCTAGATCTGGGCTAAGATGAGATCATGAGGGGTCCACATCGGGATGTTTAGAATACTGAAATTGTGTATGGGGCATGTGGGTGTATTGGTATTGAGATTGAGATTGGGGTTGGGTGTAAGGCATATGGTTGTATTGGTATTGAGGTGGTGATTTTGGTTGGGTGTTTGTGGATTTGTATCGTCGTGGTGTTTGGTGAAAGGTTGTTGTGTGTTGGGCTTGTTGTTGGAGATTTGCGGGTTGTGCCCATTGTGTTCGTGGGTCGATCAAATACCTCGTGTGAGACATGTGTATTTATGGGTTAATAACTGATATGTACCAATCAAAATACTAATTTGTGTGTCGCATATTATCATGGTTGAGGAAAACAGGAAATTGTAGCATGTTGGTGACGCATATGCCAGATCTTGCACCATTCTGGAGCAAAATATTTTCAAATAATAAGACCCCATTGGGCGTCGACTCTTTTGAGATGCCAGAGTGACAAACAAGTTGGATCGTATGGTATCTCCACAACGTTGAACTGTATGATTGAAGTCTTTGTAGTCCAAATTATTGCATCCTCGGGGTTTGATTCATGGTCTAAACCCAAATATGGTCTTCAGATAAACTGTGGATAAAAATTAATAAGAATAATGAAAATGTAAAAAATAAATAATTTAAAAGTAGAAAAGTTCAAATGTACCACGTACATCATCCGGGCCAAGGTGATCCAATAGATTACAATATAGAGCGGCAATGAATCTTGGATTCTTGCCCTAATCCATACCATTACACAGTACCTAAAGGAATGAAAAAATAGTTAATTTTATACATTTATTTGGCGAAAGGATGAATAATAAATTATTTAAATTCTTAACTTACTTTGTTGCGTATGGGAAAATAAATGCATTGTTGTTGATGGGGTTTAGGGACTCCATTCTCCACCAACCCCATGCTTGGAGTAAGAAAGCGCATCCATAAAAAGTACATTTATCATTTGTTATGTTTTTACACAAAGAACTGTATAGATAAGCTAAAACAGTAGAACTCCAACTATACTTTCTTGTTTTTTCAAGGTTCCTAAGTAAACTTAAATACATAAAATTTACATTATTCCTTGTACTTTCGGGAAATAATAAGCTTTCAAATAGTATCATAATATAATTTCTAGCTTTAATTATTCTTGCTAGCTTGGACGAATTTTCATTCAACTCAAGAGTCGCATAATATTTTTTAAGTTTGGTTAGTAATATACTTTAGCCCTAGCACCACTACCTTCTACCATATCTTTGTCCAACAATTCCTCGCATAGAGAATTGAATTGTTGAACCGACTCATTCACTTCCTTACCATCGATAGGGAGACCCAATAACATGTACACGTACTCTAGTGTGACGGTATGTTCACCTATTGGTAAATGAAATGTGTGTGTCTCGGGTCTCCATCTTTCCAATATTGCAAGTATAAACTTGGAATCAATCGTGCAATTTGAGATTTTTATAACATTTCTAAAACTGACATATTCTAGATAGGGAACGATCAATGGGTCGGGA